TTTCAAAATATTTGTGGTTTCTTTCTGTCCTGTATGGGCATGTGGCTCTTGAGTTGAGAATTAGCTTTCTCCCGTGGCATTACCAAACTGTAGGGAGTGTGGTTTACGTGAAGGTGAGTGATGCAGGGCAAGAGAAATGAGTGGCCACAGTGGGGTAGGTGGGCCACCGGGGTGGCAACGAGTCCTTAAGGAGACTGGCCTGCTCCATCTGGATGCTGCTCGACACCTGACAGATGGCAGACCTTTATTTACATGTGTACGGACACAACTTGCAGGCTCACCTAAACTCAGATGCAAAGTAGGGCCCGCAGCCAGAGACGAGGAGCTCAGCAGTTCATTAGAGGACAAAGTAACTTCATGTACAAGGTTACAGTGGTGGAAGTGAAACTGTAGGGTGGGGTGCACTGGCCAAAGTGAGAAATACAAACACTCCTTATGCCGGGATATTTGGCCACCAGCAAGATGGAGTCGCAGGTGCCAGAGAGAAGCAGAGTTACCTATAGACAGAAGCCTCTGAGACCAACCAGGTAGACCCTTGACTTGGAGATTCTGCAGGTGGCAGCATACACAAGGGTACTCTGTCAGACGTGGGGCGACAGTGTCCCTGTCAACTTTGTTCGGTGTCTTCCAGGGGACACAAGATGCAATGCCAAGGTCAGGATTGAGACCGAGACAAAGTCTTCATGAACTACAACTCACAATAAAATAAACATCTCCCGTTTGAGAGGAAGCTGATTACCAGGATAGTCACAATAAGAAAATGAGGCTGATTAACTTCAGAGATCTCTGGATGTATTTGGTTGAATTTGGGGTTGCAAGGCTGCGATGACAGAATTAAATGTCATAATGTATGCAAGCACTTCCTGCAGGAATTGCGACATACATGGCTGTGGACATGGTCCCAAGTCACCACCGTCATCCTCGTGTGGGAGCAGTTACAGTAGTAATTTCAGCTGTTACTATAATCATCTTGAACAGCATGATAGGTCTTTGTTGAATGGGGCTTGACCTAGAAATTTTATGTCTAGGGTAAGAGATACATTCTTTTGGAAGTGCTAATGTTTGTTGGAGCAGAGCTGGCTGGTGGGAATCTCGATGTTGCGTCTGTAGATGTTCTCCAAGTGTTATTTAGGCAGACCCAGACCTTCTGCCCAGAAGACTCTCTACAATTTAATTCATCAATTCCTAGAATTCTGATGGGTTCTCCATAGTCCAGGCAGCATGGCAGAGGATTTGGACCAAGAATGCCTGGAAACTTTTGTCCATTTCCTCCCTGGCAGATGTGAAGATGAAGCTCCAGAGATCCAGTTTCTCTGAGAATTATCCCTATATCTACTCCAGGAAATCTGAGAAGGAGTAAGTTTAGTTTCAGGTAATGACTGTTTTAGGAGATTGGAGTTTTACAGATCTCAAATTTTTCTTCTTCATGAGGAAGATCGTTTTCTTCAGTGTCAGTAGAAATTATTATTAACCCCTTTTGAAGAGGGTGTTGCCATTCCCATTGGCGGATTATTAACCCCTTTTGAAGAAGGTGCTGCCATTCCCATTGGCGGGGGATAGAGGTGAGCCCAGTCTTGAAGTCTGAGGTGGGAGGGGCACAGGGAGACTTAGTGAGGCTCTCGGTAGATATCTGAGCAGCACCTGCAACAGGGAGCAGACCTCTCTTGGTCTGTGAAAATACCTCCTGCCAAGGGGCCTGGGCTCCTTGAGGGTGGTAGGCATGGTGGGGCCTCCCCCAGCATCAAAGAAAATTCAATGTGAAGCTTTCTATTTTCTGTTCTAATTATATATGTGTGAACTGGGTGGAGGGGACCCTTGGGGCATTGAGAACACTGACACTTAGCAGAGCCACCCAAAGCAGCTTCCTTGGGTGTCTTCCCAGCAGTAGAATATCGACTGTTGGTGGTAGAAGACCAAGAACCAAGATCCAGATTGTACTTCTGGCTTTTGGTTTTGATTTCCCTTCAAGGGATTTGCTCATTCTTCTAACCTACTCTGCTAATGACTGCTTCCTAGTTCTGGAGGTAGCAATTCACCAGTCAGAGGAAGGGTGCATTCATTCACTCAGGGATGGATAAATATTACATAATTCCTTAAAGGCATAATTAAACAGGTAAAAAAGAAGGGAAATTTCCTCCATTACAGATAAGAAAAAAAAGGAAGTGAAAACAGAGTGTTACACATGTAAATTGACATTACTGGTGCCCTGAGGAGAAAATATTACACTAGATAATTTTTATAAGCTTAGCATTTAGTCCATCTGGAACTCGGAGGCAAACTCCTGGGTCTGCAAAAGGTAGAAGGTTGAAACCAAAACACATAAAATCTGGACCATCAAAAGACTTTCTTTTTTTTTCTTTTTAATTTTTTTATTGTTATGTTAATCACCATATATTACATAATTTGTTTTGGTGTAGTGTTCCATGATTCATTGTTTGTTCATAACACCCAGTACTCCATGCAGAATGTGCCCTCTTTAATACCCATCACCAGGCTAACCCATCCCCCTACCCTCCTCCCCTCTAGAAACCTCAGTTTGTTTTTCAGAGTCCATCGTCTCTCCTGGTTCGTCTCCCCCTCTGACTTACTCCCCTTCATTCTTCCTCTCCTGCTATCTTCTTCTTTTTCTTTTTTCTTAAAATATGTTGCGTTATTTGTTTCAGAAGTACAGATCTGTGATTCAACAGTCTTACACAATTCACAGCGCTCACCATAGCACATAAAAAGACTTTCTTTTTAATAAAAGAGTGGCTTGGTGGGGAAAAACATTCACCCACCAGCACAGAAATGACAATTAACCTTGTCTTTCTATGAGCTCTGGGGGAAATAGAGAGTTTCCCCTGAGATGTCAGAACCCCAGGACTGTGCCACTCCCATGGGGGGGCTCAGGGAAGCCCCAGATAAGGAATTGTCATAAAAAGCAGTCCTGGGCCAGTGACGTCCCCAAGACTTAGAAGGAGCAGGTACAAAATGGCTTTTGAGGGACACAGTCAGAAGCACAGATCACATGAAACTCACTATGCACAGGACGGGTCTCCATCAATAGTCACAAAATCCAGCAAATCATGATGAACAAGATTCAAAATATGTGAGAAATGCAGGCTTAAATACCTAAAACTTCAGGCAGAAGAACTACGTAAGAATTACAATAAATTAAATGTATTTAAAGTATTTTAAGGTTGTTAAAATAATAAAAGGAAGTATTATACCCATAATAGTAAAATGCTATAAATAACAAAAAGGGAAATTTGAAAAGAAATAATAATAATAATTTTTTGAGCATTTAATGTGTGCCATGTACACCTTGGAGCATTTTATTTTTTTTCAGATGTTCTAAATTTTTTAAAATTTTATTTACATTCAATTAATTAGCATATAGTGTATTATTAGTTTCAGAGGTAGAGTTCAGTGATTCATCAGTTGACCTTGAAGCATTTTAAACAAATGATTTTACATAATGAACAAGACAGCATACATAACATAGTAGATACAATTTTTATCCCAGTTTTAAGCATGAAGAAATACACAGAAGTTAACCAATTTGATCAAAACTGCAGATCTAGTAAATGGTGGAAAACACGTGTAAATCCAGAAAAAATTTCAAACTTCTGGTCGCCTGGGGCTCCTACTTCATTCCTGGAGTCCTCCCTGAGGTCCAAATATTTCACGGTGGCAGGTAAAATATAAAATATAAAAATCTACATTTGTCCTAAGAAAGAAAAAGGTAAACAGTCCCATGGACCAGAAACAGAAATGCAGCTGAGGAGGTGAGAGCCAGCAAGGGTGCTGGAGGGAGAGCATCACGGCACAGGCAAGAGTAGGTGCAGAGCTCCTGAGCTGGGATGCCCAGGGTGTGCGGGAAGAACACTGGGGACAGTGAGGTTGGAGCCCGTCCAGAGATGGGAAAAGTCGTCCTTGACAGAAGCTCAAACAGTATTAGTGTTAAGCAGCACTATTAAACAGGAAGTTTTTATTTGGATGAGATAAGGTAACATGGGAAATAAAAGGAAAAAGAACAGACTACTGAATAAATAATAGTAGATAATTTATATTTATTTGAAAAAATACTTCAATCTCTATCTCACATTTTTTATTTCAAAAAGCAAAGTCATAATATAAATATAATATAAAACTCCACAACAGGAGAAGTCAGATTCTTACCTCTCACCAAACATACATATGATATCCTGAGTGAATATATATCAAAATTATGAAAGCATTGTAAGAACATATAAGAACATTTTTAGAACATAATCACATGGAAGGGAATGTGAGGGACGTTTCTAGAATGATGGAGAAATTTTATATCCTGCCAAGAGTTTGGGTTACTTGGGTGTGTGTATTTATCAGACTGAGGGAACTGAGCACCTGAATTGTGTGCACCTCACTGTACATAAATTATAAATAGTTCCTACAAAAGCTATAAGAAGAAGGCAAATGAACACTGAGAAAATGCGCAAAGGGCCAGCACAAGAAACTGGGAAGAACTACAAATGTACAGTCAATTTATGGGAAAAATGCTCAACTGCTTTAGTCGTTGTAAAATTTTTAATTGAAATAACAATGATACTTTTCTCTCACAGACTGATTCTCTCGTGTGTTATTGGCCGATGTGTTCACTGATACAGCAGAGCAGTTTGAGAGTATTTAACAAAAATATAAAATGTGCACAACCTAAAATGCCCTGGCCCCTGATTTACAAATTTATCCTTCAGATGGATTAGCAGGAACACAGAAATACGTTTGTGCGAGAACATTTATTTTAGTATTGGTTTTGTAATATAAAGTTTTTGGAAACCACCTAATGTCCATCAGCAATTGAAAAGATTAAAATATATTACGATAGTATTTCATTAACAATGCTGTTTTTAAACAATGGACACCACTCGTGGTGTTAGATACAGGGAAGTCTCTAACATTTTACATTATATATTTCTAAATTGTTTTAATTTGTAAGAGTTGGTGTATAATTGTTTTAAAATTAAAACATAGACTCCAAATTGTATTGCCACATTTTTTAAAGTTTGTGAATAAAAGAAGAAAAATTATATTCATAAAGCTTCTAGGGGTGCAACAAATACAGAACTTTGGGTGTGGTGAAACTTACAAAGATTGTATCTCGTTACAAATATGGGGGCATCTAGGTTAGTTTGTGCATACAAAATATGTCACTAAGATTGAATGTACCCATAGTAACTTTACGAAACTTTGTTTGAATTCTAATTTGGGAGCAGTGACCCCAAATGCACTGAGTCACAAATTTTATGCAGAAACAGGATGAGTCATGTAATTGTCGAGGCTGGAGTTCTGTTCTGGAGTTCAGTGCAGAGCTTGTCTGTACTTGGACAAGAGGACATGTACCCATCTCTGTGCGCAGCTGCCCAGCAGAATTGCTAACCTTGTGTCCATGCACTCTGAGTGAGCTTCACTGTCCCTCCACCCCAAGGTCACCCACCCTGTTTCCTCTCAGAGAAGGAAGCTAGAGCACAATTTGACCTGTGTCTAAAACAACCAGTAGGAGTCGGGTCCCACCCCTGCATTCATTGTGGTTCTTTGGGTGGTTTCTTCAGGGCTAGAAGCACCTCCGTTTCATGGTAGATGCAGGAATAGTCTCTGGGGGGTAAGCACCTGGATGAGAAGTCCTGGAAAGCAGACTACCCCAGGATCCCTGAAGAACATACTGGTTCTGAGGCTTGGGGTCATGGATGGTTTCCCAAGAGCAGAATCTTCCAGAACTTTACATAGCGTCTTCATAGTCCACATCTGCAACACTTGCCTTCTTCAGCCTAAAATAGATGGCTGAAGCATCCTAAAAGTAAAGGCACGTGGATAGGACCAGAGCAGGGAAGACACGTGGAACATGCCTCCGCATGGTTCTCTTCCCCAACCAGCCTGGATGCGTCCTATCGCGGCACACCGTGCAGCACAGAAGGTGGAGCCTCTTGGAAGACTGACCCTAGGTGAGCATTTGCAAAGGACCTGTGTCCTTCTGGTGGGCTGCAGAGGTGCTCCTGATGAGCCGTAAGCTCATCCAAATGTGCAAACTCCCATTCTAATGGGCCACTGATAGGCAGTTCCATGAGCTGTCGTTTTTTTAAGGATGTCAGGATTTTGTACTCATAAACTACATTTAGCATGTCACTGGAGTTTACCAAGGACACAAATTCTGTCCTGAGACCTCTGGCTACCCCCACCACACTAGACAAACTTACAAAGCACCTACTGTCCTTGTACACATGTGGAGTTAGAATTCCTGTAATTTTCTGAAAGTATTTTTGTATTACCAGTGATATCTTGAATTGTTCAAGGTTTACAAATTACTGACTTGACACAAATCACTATTAGTTTAGCTTTGTTCAATATTAATTGAGTTTTCCACAGATTGTGTGGTTAACCTCACAGCACAAAGTGGTGTGTGTGTGGTTCAACAGTATTTCAGGTTTCAAGATTTTCAAGGAATAGAATTTTTTAGACTAGCCATGTGCTACAGTGTATCTACAAATCATCCATGTGTCTGTTGCTAAAGGAAACATCTGTGCAAGTCTCCAAAATTCCCTTGCACCATGAGGCTTTATTATGACCAAATGTTTTTCCCACTGTGTGGGGGATAAGAGGAGAGTCGGACCATTGGAAACTTTTGCTTCTCCTAAGTTGCCATAGTTTTAAAGGTTTGAGAACCAGTCCCTAGAAGAAAGAGAGAAGAGCAGGAATGAAAGTCCAATAGGGCTTCTAACTCACCTGGTCCGTGGTATGTGTCCTCCGGGGTTCTACTGTGGAATAAAAGATGTGTGCTGTAAGATTTCACTTATATTTAAAGTCCTTCACTAAAGTTGTGCTAATAAAGGCTTCTTCTCCTCCTATCTACTTTCTGTATACTGATTTCCATCAGTATTTTTAGTCTTGCTTTTCTGCTTATCACAAACATGATTTCCTTACTGTACAGAGGATGATGGGCAGCCTAGAGGTGGACAGGTAAGTAGGTCCCTCTGGGCATTTACACTCTTTTTGTTTCTGGAACCACAAGGTTATGGATGGGACAACAACAGCAAGTGGGGCCACTCAAGGAAGGCAGGTGGACACCGCCACCCCAATCTGCCATATGACCGGGGGCGCTGAGCTAGCACCAGCACTCGGGGCTGCTCCTAGACCCAAGGCCAGTGCTCAGGGAGGCAGGGAAAAGGCCACAGCCAGCTCAAGGCAGAGCACCAGTGCCGAAGAACACTTCCATATGCCATTTGCAGCCACTGAGTATCCTCTTGGTTCCAGGAAAGAAAAAAGTCAGAGATACATTCACTCCCTCATGTCTCACCCGCGGCTTGCCGCTCCTGTTGCGTATGGTACACCAAAGAGTAGACCTCTTCCCCGCTTATGACGTTCACTGAAAGAGAAGAAAGGAGGCATCCTTTCTTCCTGCCAATTACCTTACTCCATGCCTACCACTTATCACCATGAAGACAGACAGGCCATTTGTGCATGGAGGCGGCTGGGGCACAGCAGGCACAGGGTGGGCTAGCAGATGTCATCCCACTGCCCCTTCCCCGGCTCCCTCTGGCTGCTTGGGCCAGGTCATTTGGGAAACCTCACCATTTTCATATACAGACTGTTCCTGCAGTGGGGCAGCTGAGTTGATGTAGTTGGACACCTGTGGCGTGGGGCTGGGAGGGCTCCTGCAGACACAGATAGTGGAATAGCATCCCAGATGCCCCAGACATCACTGTCCAGGGTTGTGAGCAAGACATTGAAGGAGAGAATCCTGTTAGCAAGTGTCCTGAGCAGAATACTGACTTCTGGGGAGATCCTCAGTGAGCTCCACTGTGTGGTACAAACTCTGTACGTGGGCTGAGCAAGGCACAGCAGAGCAGCCGTGGAGTGCACAGCCCATGAGCGCAGGTCCTTACCTGATGGGCTCAGTGTGGGGTTGCCCACACCTAGAATAGTGCCCTTCCCATTCAGGTGCTCAGTGAATACTGAGTGAAGAATATTGATTCCCCCCGATGGAGAACAGTTACCAGGCAGAACAAGCAGCTTGAGGAAGGGAGAGAAGAATGTGAACTGGCACATACATGTACCGCTGGAAGACCACTACTCCAATTTGGGAAAATAATCTGATTTTCTCGGCATAAACAACAACACAGTATAAAAGCATGTTGACTAAACATTGATGGCCCCAGATGCAAGTGTTTTAAAAATCTTTTCCTCCTCTAAACTAAAGAATTTCACCAGCAAGTTTTCAGGATGGTTATCACTTTCTAGCCTGAATGACAGAAATGTGCATGTATCTTAATGCCTCTGAGATACTTTCAGGATCTCAGGATCCTATTTTCCTGCCTCATCAGAATGACTCACAGACCCTCAGATATTGGTTCATTGATTGAATGAATCAGTTCATTGGTGAATGTGTGAAATGGGTCAGTTTATTGAGGGAGGTGAATTAGGAAGAATGATGGAAGAAGGATTTGAATTAATCAGTTAATGCATAAATGAAGAGGAATAGCAAATAGACACTCTTATCAGCTGGAGAACTCCAGAGAAGAAGTTGGGATAATAAATATACAACAAGCACATGAGAGAGGACAACTTAAAACTGTGAAGATGGGTTTTTCTGCATTATCAGTGCACACAGACAAAGCAGAGCCTCACCTGCACGGGTCCCTGGCCAGACGTCTTCCTATAAGTCAAGCAGATGAGCAAACACGTCAAAGGGGGAATCTGTTCTTCAGTTTTCAGATGGCCCTTGGGCAGGGACCGCTCCTCAGGCCTGCCACGGCATGCCAGAGGGCATCCTGGCCATCACTTACTCAGATCCTTCACTTTGCAGGTGAAGAGACTCAGTGCAGAGTAGTTAGTGAGCTTCCCACACAGTTCATCCCAGAGTGAGGACCTGAGCCCCAGCCTCTGAACCCGAACACCTTATTGTAGCTTTTGCTTTGGGTTTTGACAACACACTACCTACTCTTGTCATGACAAGAACCCTCAGAAACAGGCACGGGTACGGCCACTTTACAGCTGGGGTGAAGTGCCCCAAGATGCAGAACAAGCTTGGAATTTAAATGAGAATCTCTCATCGTCTCCATCTTGCTCAGTGGAGAACAGGAGTCCAAGATTAAATGCACCAATAAATATGTAATTACCAACTGTGAGCCAGGGTGAAGCTAAATAACAGGGCTCGGAGGAAGAAAAAACTGAGAGAATTGTAGGCTGTGTGGCTGGGTGAAACCTCTGGTGGTAAAGGACATTTAAGCTGAAAAGCAGGAGAGATCCTGTGGTAAGCAGACGTGAGGATGCATGGACAAGCATTTCAGAAAGTGGGAAGAGCATGTGATGGTGCTCTGGGGGGATGAGAAGGGAGGCACTGACTTTAACTGGGGGTGGTCGGCAGAGCTGGAATTGCTAACTGGGTTTTTCTTCCAGTAGCTGGCTAGTTATTTTAAATAGAGTCAGAGTTTTGGGTGAAAATTAGATCCCAGAAGCACCAGACATCAGCTGAACCCCGACTGATCACACACGGGGTGGGGGACTCGACCACAGACACCGCACTATAGTAATGGGTGCTGCCCGCATGCTGGGGCTCAGGAGCAGATCTGTAGGCTGGGTGGCTGGCAGGACATATTTGTCCCTCACAGTGTTCCCGTCCCCAGCCCCACCTATTTCCGTAAAAACAAAGGTCACAGTAACAAAATACCAGAATCTATAAATACTAACCTATTCTTTTCTTGAGCCAATAGCAGAGCAATAGGGCCATAATGGTGGGACCAAGGGTGCCAAGCAGCCCTTCAAGGATTTCTGAGGCGAGAAGTTCCTTCTTGTCCTCCGTAGGCACTGAGGGGAGAGGTCTGCACGTGAGCCGCCCTGCGAGAGGGCTGGCCTTTGGGGAACAGACGTCTCAGGTGTGGGCCGAGGCCAAGGTCTGCTTTTCCTGGGCGAGGGGGGCAGGGGTTGTGGGGCTGACTTATGTGACTTGGAGCTCATCACCCTGATGGCAGGAGAGGCGCCAGCCTTCATGTTCTCTGTGCCCCTCAGACACACCTCCTAGACAGCACCACGTTCAGACGCTCCATCGTTGGAAGCACAGCACCAGAGATACTGTGGGGTCAGTAAAACTCTCCCAGGATGCTGGAAAGGAGCTTGGACCAAGACCATTCAATAGCCTGGGCTGTACCTGTGATGTTGAGTGGCACCGCCTCGCTGCGCTGGGCCCCCAGGCCGTTGTCGGCTTCGCAGGAGTAGTTTCCAGAATGTTCTGTGGTCAGAGAGAGGTTGAAGGACACTCCTCCTCCAGAGGGGGCCGAGCTGCTCCCCAGGGTGACATCCTCGTGATAAAACCGGTACAGGATCGGGGGAGAGCCGCTGTGGGCCTCACAGCGAAGCTCCACCACGTCCCCAGGGAAGACCTGGGCCCCGGGCGCCCTGAGGGTGAGGACGGGGTAAGACACCGGACCTGAGGGAGACAGGGAGTCAGCAGAGAGTGTACCGTACTGTGACAGACTCGTAATCCCTGCCCACAGAGGCTCAGCCCCATTGAACTTCCCCGGGTTGCCCCAGGGAACAGGGAGTCCAGCAAGTGGGGGTGCTGGTGGGACAGAAGGTCAGGGAACTTACTTCTGACGGTGACGCTCACCAGCTCGCTGATGCTGGGGCCATAGCCGTTGTCAGCCATGCAGTAGTAGTTCTCTGTGTCACTCTCTGTCACTGCCGGGATCTCAAACTTCGCGGCCAACGAGCGCTGGGTCTTCGTTTCCAGGTTCAAACCCAGGGCCCCTTTGTACCAGGAGAAGGTGATGTCTCCTGTGCCCTGGGTGGCCAAACAGACGAGAACCAGCTTCTCTCCCTTCTGCACTTGTCCCCCTGGAGGCTGTGTCTCCAAGCTCACATTCCAGACAGGGACTCCTACACAAACACAAGGTGACACACGGGGCGTGACCATCCTGGGAGCAAAGGCCTTGGGTAAAGTCAATAATTTATGCAGTTTAGTGGTGGCAGGTGGTGGTGTTCTGAGGGCGGTTGCTGCTGACCGGGTGGGCCTCGGCCAGGTGGATGTGGTAGGGTGAGAAAGGCCATACAGTTACCACGGTGGATGCAGCACCCCCTCCCTCCCGGGAATCGTGGGTCTCCCAGGACCTTGGCCTCTCAAACCCGCACTCTGCAAGGCACGGTACTATGGTGGCCACAGTACAGATGGCAGATCAAGCTGTCGGGGCTTGAATGCTGGTCCCACGTCTTACTGTGGGCGCTTGATCCAATCACGTCACTTCTCGGAGACTCAGTTTCCCACCCGTACAATGCAGGGGGGAATGCTAGTTATCTCCTACGGTTGGGACGGTCCCACGACATAATGCATGTGGGGCCTAGAGCAGGGCCTGCTGCCCAGCAGCTCTTTGTTCTGGTCCGGCCTCACCAGTGCAGAGTTTTGAGCAAGGGCGCGAAAGCCAACCTTCTGGGGGTACTCCACATCCTCTTCCTGGCACCATGGACGCATCGTTGTCTGAGAACGGGGGAGGACGTTAGCGTGCCTACCCGGACGTGCAGTGACATGGTTCAGAGTCACAAAACGCCCCTTCTCTTCCTCTCTCTCAAAACCAAGCCCCAGCTGCCCCTCCCACAGCCTTGTGCCCAAAGCCTGCCCTTACCGTGCGGGTCTGATTTCTCCCTTCTCTGTAGCTCCCGTGACTCCCCACCACCGCCACACATGTCCCCCCGTGCTGCGGAGGGTGCCATCAGGGGCCGTGATTATGCAGCGACTCGCCCCCACTCTCCAGCCCAGGGAGGACGCCGTGAGGGGTTCCTAAGTACTCTTCTGTGCACTTGAGCGCGATTAGCAAGGGTAAGGGCAGATCCCTTAAGGACTCTGAGGAGAGAAGCTCAGGCACATCTCCACCAGCTCCTTCCGCCCCCCCCAAGGGAAGAGCAGCCTCGTGCCCCCGGCCCCGTGTCAGTCCCCGGCGTAGGCCCCCGCACTCACCTTGCACCTGTATCTGAATCCTGGGGCTCCGAGCGACTCTGAGATCTGAGGTCTTTGCTTCACACCAGTAGGACCCCGAGTCTTCCCTCCACACAGTGGGGAGCTGGAGCTCTGGGGAGCTGCTCCAGCCCTGCCACAGGGCCTGGCTGTCTCTGAAGAAACAGAACTGGGGCTGGGCGTCTGGCTTCCAAGAAGCGGCCTGTGCCTCACAGGTCAGGGTCATTGAGCTCCCCTCCTTGGGCCGAGAGGGCCTGGCTGTCAGAAGCAGCACTAGAGAGAAGGACGAAAGACACATTCCAGGGCAATGGGTTTCAGAATTCCCACAAGAGGCACGCTGTGTTCTCAGCATTTTGCACAAGGCCAGCTGGGTGCAGAGACCACCCCCACCCCAGCACGGCCTGCCCCTATGCAGCATCTCCTCCCCCCACGAGGCAACCTCTACCTTCAGCTTGGTTCCCACTCTTTGACATTTCCATCCATGAACTAAAAACACCTTTTTTGGAGACAGGACAGGGTACCGGCGACTGTTGTCGGAGATGGTAAAGCCTGACGTTTCAGGAACAGCAAGTGTGTTTCATTCATTCTTGTCGTGAACCATGTTGGTTATCTTCTTCGGCCCCCTCCCCCCACCGGCATCCCAGAGCCACACTCTGTCTTTCAAGGACAGAGTGTGACCCCGGACGGATGATCTGCCAGTCGGCGAAAGATTAGAGGAATTCAATGCTTTCTTTACTGAGTCTTTCCTGCCCCTGTTACTGCTGCTCCGAATGGAAGGACCTGGCGTGTGCTTGCCTGAAAATGCTGCATGCACACATCCAGCTCCCTTGCTCTGGGACTGTGCGTAAACCTTGTGCAAGCCATGGGCATAAGGGGCAGTTTCAGCCCATACCCTGTGACTCAGGGATGTCTCCTTTTCCGGCCGTAGGGGCTCTTCTCCGGATGGACTACACATGGGCAAAGCTGGGCCCTGCCTCCCCACATCCGCATCGGCCCAGCTGCAGCGCCCAGGGAAACATCAAACCCTGGAGGACACTGGCTCTTGAGGCATTTGTTTATCCAACCTCAGAGCCTGGGCTCTTCGAGAAAGTTTAGGAATTTTCCTAAGAAAAGCCTTTCTCGCCTCACCAGATAAAATGCCAAGTGTTCTCAATCCCTGAGAGGGGTTTGTTGCTCCAACACCTGTCATCCTCAAGCCTTGCAACTGGAATGCTTTATCCTGGGACTTTTAAAAACTTAATTTCAATGTTGGTACCAGAATGTTCGCTCTGGGGCCTGGAATTTCTGGCACTAGGGGTCATCTTCTCTCCTTGGAAAACTGCAGTCCCCAGAGGACTGAGGACAGAGAAAGGAAAAAAAAAAGACATGTAAGCACCTGTACCCCACTCTTCTGAACGGGGCAGGTGGTGTGGAATGGGACACTGGATAGGGCGGTTTGCAAGGGCTGGAGCTCAGTCTTGCTGCTCAGAGCTTGTTTCAGATAATTCTCAGGTATTCCCAGGCAAACCTGGCAAACTCCTGGCAAAGCTTTGTTTCTTCTGGATGTGGATTTGGATTTCTGCTTAGGCTCAGATTGGGCACTCATGGGGTAAAAGCAGGATCAGGCACAGAGCGTGCTGGCATTAACCCATGGCCTGGGTTCAACTTGGATGAACCTTGGGAGAGCATCCCAGAAGCCTGGGCTGGCTCTGAGTATCTCTGGCCATTGGCCCTGTAGAGCTGTGCTCCCCAGCCCCAGGTGCGGCCTGTGTTCTTGAGGCGGGCAGGAAGCCTCTTCGAGCCCTGTGGTTAGTATTTTATGCATAAGAGAGCAGTTCCGACATATCCTGGATTGAAACCCACTTCAGTGGAAGATTCCTTCAGGGGGAAAACTTCCTCCTCTGTTCGTCTGGTAATTTGAATCAGGATCAGAGCGATGGCGGGTTTGCGCCAACCAGAGTCTGAGAGAGAAGTTGCACGGGGGATCAGCTGTGGCTACAGAGCAGGGCTGGAAATGGGAAGGGGGCAGAGTGCACTTCGTTTTCCCATGGCCCAGGGACCGACTGTCATGTTCTCCATGGATGTGTGATGGTGGCGTTTCCTCCATCGCTCCTGGGGGAGCACCCCGTGGGGAAGACACAGGGGTCTTGCAGCCCCCGAGGCTGGGGGGAGGGGGTGGCAATTCTTCTAACATCCATCTTCCACACTCGGTGACTTCCTGGGAAACAGCATCTCCCTTCCTGAGCTGGGACTTCCCACAGGAGGGACGGTGGTTTTGAGAAGGTGGGGCCAAGACCTGCTCCCCTAGCTGAGCAGCCATATGTCAGGTGCAGAAACTGGCCTGAACACAAGCAGCCTGGTCCCCAGGGAGCCTCTGTCATGTTAGACCTTGGCGGCTGCCACCAGATGGCAGACAGCATCCACTGGCCTCCTGCACAGACGTCCCAGTGACATGATGCCCATGGACCATGAAGAGGAAAGGAAGTGTTACTCACCTTCACTGGCTGGTTCACAGGGTGGAGCTAGGAGAGAATTCAGGAGAGGTCAGTACAGGCGCAGATCCCAAACAGGCAGCCCCTGCAGCCCGGCTGACCATCCCCAGCGCTGCTCTCCGCATGCCCTCCCGCAACCCTCCCCCTCCCCTCCCCCTCCCTCCCTCCCCCTCCCTCCTCCCCTTCTCCTTCCTCCCCTTCTCCCTCCTTCTCCACCTCCTCCCCCTCCCCTCTCTCCTTCTTCGCCCCTGCCCACTGTTCTCCTCCCTCCCTCCTTCTCCACCTCTGTTCCTTCTCCCACGTTCCCCATCACCACACAGTTCCTTCTGTGATCAGGAAATCCTTCCCAGTCACTGCTCCCATCCGTGGTTAGGAGGTGGTGCCTTCGTTCCGTGGCTCCTTCAAGCCCTGGGCTCTCATCCCTCCCTCAAATGTCCAGATGACCCCACCCCGGCCTGGCCAACCACAGTGACAACAGCCAGGCTCCTGCTCTTGATGCCCTTTGTTCACCAACGTCCTGGCAGAGGAAGTCCACAGAGGGAATCCGGATTTCTCCAAAGATTCTCCCATACCCCAAGGGTTTGACTGTAGTACTGTGGCATAATGATCAGGAACAGAACATCCTGGGGAGACGCAGGCTCTGCAGTCAGAGGGTACAGACCTGAGGCCTGCCTCTTCCCCTTACAAGCTGTGCTACCCCAGGGAAAATGCTTCACCTCTCTGTGCTCTCCTTTCCTTTTCTGTGAAATGCAGGTAATCACAGGCCTCCCTCACAGAGTTTCTGTGAGGATTAAATAAGTTCACATCCATAAAATGCTTAGAATAGTGCTGGAATTTATTTAACAATCAGTAAATATTACTCATTATTAGTACCTATTCGAGTCCATGGTTAGTCTGAGATGTGTAGCCTGCTGTTTGAGCTTAAAAGCTGATGTGAATAACTTGTTCCTCAGGTAGGAGAATGGAATCAATGGGGCTACCGTGCAAATCACATTTTTTATCCATCCGAACTACAAATAATTCCGAGCGCTTACTGCATGCCAGGCACCGCACCTGGGACTGGGGTTGCAGGAGCGGATGTGAACAACAGGCTTTGCTGTCGAGGAATTTAGAGGGAGAGAGCCAATTAAAAAATCAACATATAGCCTGATTTCAGAGAGTGGTCACTGCTATAGGAGAGATGTAGCCGAGAAATAAGTTCAAGTATCTTAAGACAGTTGTGACTCTTTGGATAGATGTCAACTGAGTAGAAAACAGAATGAAAGTAGAGGGCTGCCTTCTAAGTGTTTGGGGACGAGCACCCCCGGCAGAGAACCAGTGAGTGCAAAGGACGTGAGAAGGAATGACCTCGTGGTGGGGTGGGGTGGGGAGGGGAAGGTGGTGCCCCGGAGCTGATAGAGGGGCACGGTGGGCACTGGTGTGCTGGAGGTGGTCGGAGCCAGCCGTGGGGGGCGTCCTGGACTTGGGACCAGGTCTGGATTTCATTCCAGGTATGATTGGGAGTTGTGGACAGTTCCGACTCCACTTAGGTTTGTAAAATCACTCTTATCCTGGGAGAGGGGCAGACCGCCGTCATGCAGGAGAAGCAGGGAGGACACTAGTGGTAATTTAGTCTGGAAGACAGAGGACAACAACTGGGCTAGGCAGGCCTGGCCATGCAGGGCCGGATTCCAGTATAAATTTGAAAGTAGAATCAATAAGAGTTCCTTATGGGTTGGAGGTCAAGTGTAGAGGAGAGAGAGGAATGAGTGTAAGTCCTAGATTCTTGGTTGCAGCCGCTGGAAGACTGGAGGTGACATTCATGAGCATGGCGCAGTCACCCGGAAAAGCAGGTTAGGTTGGGGGAATGCACAGGAGATCAGGACGTGTGTTTGGCCGTGTGGAGTGCAAAGTGTCTACGGGTCAGCTGGGTGGCTGTTGAAGGCATGGAAGGTGCTCAGAGGACAAATCAGAGCTGGCAAAATAAGCTTGAGTTTAAGGTCAAAGTGGCACATGAAGTGTCTGAACTGGGCTGGGAAGTGAGCACGGGTGGAGCGTGAGATCTGGGCACCAGCCTTGGGAATGTCGGTCAGGAAGCAACAGGTGTTGAGTTAGAAAACCAGCAACGTGTGGTGTTCCAGAAGCCAAGGGAAGAAGTGCTTCCAGAAGACGGAGCGAAGGACCATCCATGAGAAGCTGAGTTAAAGGAAGCTGAAAACAGCCTGGGCCGGGGTGACGTGGAAGGTGCCGGTGGTTCCAGCAGGAGCAGTGGTGGGGACGCAAGGTGGAGAGCCGTGGCCGAGCGTAAGGAGGACCTGTGAGCACCGAGAACTGGCCAGTGGTCGCTGGGGCTTAGGAACCCAAAGGGATGGAGGCCAGGAGGGAGTGTTTGAGGAGATGGAAATGCTCTGCATCTTGAAGATGCTCAAATGATTACAAATCCTTCTGGAAAATCGGAGCTGGTGTGTCATAAAAGTGAATGTTACTGTGATGTAAATTATAAATGAGTTTAAAACAGGAAGGACAGGAGGAGATGAAGCAAGCCCAGCAGCTCCCTGGAAATTTTGTGAAAGGAAGCAGGACACTGTCGAGGCACATTTCCATCGCTTTAGGCAAAAAGACACGGTGGCGTGTTTGTGTGTTTACAGGACTAACCCAGAATGAAGAAATATGGTGATGGCACAGGGAAGGTTCTGAGAAAGCGAGAGCATCGGGGAACCCACTGCACACGGGGGTAGTCCTGTCCTGCACAGAAGGGAGGACGGTGTCGTCCTGACCGAGGACACACGGCGGGGGCGGGGGGGTTCACAGACATGGCTGCAAAAAGGTGAGGACATTCTCTTTGATGGCTTTCATTTCCTCAGTGACATGCAGCAAGATGATAAACTGAGAGTAAGAAGGAGAAGTTTGAGGAGACAGAGAAGGTGGGAGATAGTGGTCCGAGTGTGAGGCACCGAGTAGGAAGGTGTAGGAGTGTCACCTGCCCTGCCGGGGCCACCAGAGATGTGTGCCCTACATTTAAAGGATGTGAGTCAATGGGACCGTGCCTTTCGTGTGAAGTCACACGCAGCTGCTTAGGCACCCATGTGAAGCATGCAGAGAAGCGTGTTGATCAGGAGGGTGTGGCCAGGGGAGGGTTGTGTGAGCCCCAGCATCTGAGCTGAGAGGTAGGTGACGGACAATGAAAAGTCACCCAGGGGGGTTGAGAAGGGAAGTTACAAATGCCATGTGGCCATTGGGTGGGATTGGGGCGGGGTGCCGAAAACAGGGATTTTGAAAGCCAGCTGTTGTTGGTGATGATCCCTTCTAGGATTTGACGGTGAGGATGAGGGGCCAAGGACAGAAGACAAAGGAAAGGATGCTGACGGTGAGGACAAAGAACGAAGAGCCCAGGTCGCTGTGTGAGCCATCCTGTGGCTATCCACAACAGTGAGAACAGAGACAGAATTCATATTGGAAGGAAGGACAGACACCAAACACTTCCTATGAGATAAAAGGTGAAATGATAGTTTTCTTCAAACAGCTGGCTCTCCAGTCTTTACCACCTGCTGCTCGACTCTGAGCCGAAGGCGGAGACCTCGGGAGATCTGGCCTGGACGTCCCACTCACCGCACATCAGCAGCACGAGCCCCAGCAGCATGAGGACCGGGTCGGGGACTGTCACTGGAGACACTTTCTCCTGGAAGGAGGAATCCACCTCTGCGTGGAGAGGCAGCAGCTTGGCCGACGGTTGACGAAGTCGGGATAGGAAGTCGTGCTGCAGAACGTTTACAGAAATAGAAGAGCGAGAGCCCTCCCAAGTCCCGCCTCTGTTTCCTCTCCGCTGGGGGCCGAGACAACAAAGGGCGCTCCTTCTTGTAGCTCTGTCCCATGTCCACAGCTCGAAGAGAGTGCACTTCAGCATGTCAGGGCCTCCCTCAAGAGCTCAGCGGTGTCTCAAAGGACTGTTCCCAAAGGCGCTTTGATCAGTGCTCCTCAGACTGCGGTCCTGCTGAAGGCTGTGGACGCTTTCCCCGTCAGGAAGGATGTCCCCCCACAGCACATGTTCCTGCTTCGTCGGAGCTGCACGCTGTCACTCGGCATGAACGGCCAGGCCAGGCCCGACGGGCTCTCACCGGGGTTACATGCAGGGCCTGATGGATTACAATGGGTACAGGGTCAAGCTGTTTGTAAGGTACTGGCTCCCACCCATGTTTAAACTTTCACGGGGTAGCAGTCAGTGAAGCAGAAAGAGATGAAAAACAGAATCACAGGAAATTACGGCCTGGGGGGATGTTTGTAAGTGAAATACAGGAAATATGCAAATGCAAATTAGCTTCTGGGCCTTTGGGACCGTTTGCCATGATCACAAGGCATGTGTGATGGTGGTCCTGCCCTCCCCCAGCCCCGGGAGTGTGTCATCTACCCCATCCCTCCCTGCAGCTCGCTGAGGCTCCCGGTCCCTGCCCCCGGAGCCTGCGGTAATTCAGACCATGCTTGGAAAGAATAAACCATCTGAATTTCCAACATTTCTTGAGTCTTTGAGGATCTAGGATTAAGAACCTGATAACGTGTGGAAGCAAAGCTATTAGGGGACATGGCAAGACGACATTCAGTAATGATGTCCAATTGCGGTGTGAAGGCGAGCACATGAGCACAGAGAGGTGAACGCAGGGTATACGCACAGACAGCTGAACATGCTGGATCGAGAGGGCTCCAAGAAAAGGCATGATGAGAGAAGCATGGGGTCCACATGGCCAGCGCTGAGCCAGCTGGAGGAGGAGGGAGAAGTGCTGGAAACCGACCGGGGGCCCTGGGGAATTCCCAAAGACGAGACAGTGTGCCCCATTTTGTTAGCTGGCTCAGGAAAGCCTGCCTGGGCGTGGGTTTGCCTCGTTCAAAGTTTCAGGACTAAGGCTTCTCATTCACTGAGGAGCGCGGGGCCCTCTCGATCCAGCATGTACGGCTGTGCGTACACCCTGTGTTCACCTCTCTGTGCTCATGTGCTCGCCTTCACAATATCTCTCCCCTCCTCC